TTCTTTCTTTCTTTCTTTCTTTCTTTCTTTCTTTCTTTCTTTCTTTCTTTCTTTTATGTACATTGGTATCTGAGTGTATGTATATATCTGTGTGGGAGTGTCAGATCTCCTGGAACAGGAGTTACAGACAGTCGTGAGCTGCCATTTGGGTTCTGGGAATTAACCCTGGGTCCTCTGGTAGAGGAGCCAGTAAACTGCTGAGTCATCTCTACAACCCCCTTGTTTTGTTTTTCAAGACAGGATCTCACCATGTAACCCTGGTTGTCCTGCAACCCATTCTGTAAATCAGGCTGGGCTTCAATTCAGAAACTCCCCTGCCTCTGCCTCCTGAGTGCTGGGATTAAAGGCATGCAACATCACTACTCAGCATGAGCTAGCTCTCACCTGAAGATTCACACAGCTCTCAGTAAGAGACTTGTCAGCAGTGAGGGACCTGTGGATAGCTTTGCTTTGAACACCTTGAGTTCTGACTGGGTGAGTGGCTAGGTTAATTGGTTTGGTTTTAAATTTTTCTTTCCATAGGGTTTATTAGAAGTCAGACCTATGTGAAGAAAAACACTCCCACTTCAGCTGCCAATCCAGTGGGGTGTTTAATTGTTGGTGTTACAAGTCACAGAAACAGTTTTTTGCTTCTTTTGTAAACTTGTTTACAATAAATTTTCACATCTTATTACATGAAAAAAAAAAAAAAGAAAAGAAAGAAACCATCACTTTTGTTGTCACTGGTTGTGTGTCCTCTGGAATTAAAATAGCTCAGTGGGTTAATAAACCTTCCATTGCCTCCTGGCCTCTGTGGGGTCAAAATGTGTAAGGAAAGAAACCAAACACAGTCTAGCCATCTTCGCTGATTGGAGTCTAAGCCAGTTTCCTCCCTGGGGACTGTGCTGCGTTGGGGCATGAGAGAGCTGGACATCACACACGCTTGTCCTTGAGGCCGGAACTAGGCAGAGCCAGTTATGGGCACTCCTCACAAGGTGTGGCCTGGCTGCTCTTTGCTGTCTTTGAAATCCTGGGAATTGTTCATATCAGTGTTTATCTCAGCTTAGACCTTGTAATTCCCACATTGACCTGCTAAGAACTAAGGCCAAAGCAGAGACTCGGGTGGAGTTTGAGGTACAGCAGCTATGGAATAACATTTAAGGTAACTGTTAGTACCTGATTGGATTTCAAGGATAAGAATAGTGGCCATTGTAGACTGGAGGAAGCTGAGGTAAGTGTAACAGACAGATCTCCAACCCACATCTACCGTTGTCCACCTCAGGCTTAGGGTCCCTGCATGTGCCCCAGGTGATTTCTCCATGCAGAGATGAGGCAGTGCTAAAAGACTTCAAGGGAGCTCTGTCTTTTTCACTACAGCTTAACAGCTGAGGTGGACTTTGCCCTTCTCCTCTGAAGTCCTGCCAGCCATCTTTCCAGTTCCCATTGTAGGCAGATGCCCTCTCTAAACCTTCACCAGCAAATGTGGACTCCTGGTCCTCCCTAGGCCCACACCCTATCTTGCTTTGTCCCTTTACTAAACTTGTCCCAGGGCACCAGCAGAACGGTGATATAGCAGCTCCCCGGGATCCCCTCAGCCTCTGAGTCAGCTGTGCTCACCATGAGGAAATGCTTCCAAGCAACAGAAAGGAAGTTTCTCCCCTGCTAGTGTGCTGGGATGGAAACTCTATCTCCACTGGAATCCAGGAGTAGAAGAGAAAGACAAACAAACTCAGAGCATCCACCCTGGTTCAGGCCCTCCCTTTCCCCAGAGATTCCCCCTCCCACCCCAGCTTCTGGGATGAGTTCTTGCCGTCAGCCTGCCCAGACTGTCACACACATTCCAGGGTTCACGTTCATAAACACAGTCTGTGGACAACAGTGCCAGCACCTCCCACCTGCAAGGGAGCAGCTCTTCCCAAAGACAGAGGGTACTCCAGCTGTCGACTCTCACCAGGGCTGTTGCCCATCATCTCCAAGAATAAACTCCAGCTAGTGGCTGCGTGGATCTGAATCATCTGGGAGATTCCAAAGGAGGGGAGTGACTGCCCAGGACAGACAAGCAGGCTATATAAGTTCTTCAGGGTTGGGCTCCACACAGATCTCCTGCAGCTACTGCCTGCCAGAGAGTTACCTCCAGAGAGCTTGCGTGCCATCTACCATGTCTGAGGTAAGAAGACCCAGTGGGGCCCAGCTGGTACCAAGGAAGTTGGGAGGGCTGAACACTAACTAATACTGCGCTTTGAAGTGAAAGCCAAACCTAAACAAGAGGCATGCGTCCCTGCCAGGCTGCTCCCACAGAGACACCCTGGGTCCTACCAGGCTCTGGTGAATGGCCTTGGTTTTCCAGGGCCCAGGCTGTGCAGGGTTGGGGATGGGGGAGTACTTGTAGAACTGTGTGTGCCTTTGTAAGTGTATGAGAGAGCTGACTGATGGCTTGGTATATCCAGTTATGTATACAGTTGTAATCTGGAGGAAGAATGGGTGAGGCTGTACCTATAGGTCACAGCTCTGTGTCTCTATTTCACTAGCAGGGCGTATCTCTGCGCACACCCATGTTTCCCTGGGAGTGAAGCCCAGGCTGAGGGAGGGAATCCCTGCACCTGCCTGCAGGGCTTAAGAAGGAATAAAGTGTCAGCCTCACAGGCGCCGGGGAGAGGGGGGGAAGAGAGAGAGGGTAAGCACTGGCTTTCCCAGCTCTACTGGGACAAGCAGAACAGCAAGGTTGCCCTTGCTGCCTGCTCTGTGGCTGTCTACCTCATCTCCTTCCCAAATGCAATAATAGAATCAGTGTTTTTGTTTCGGGAAAAGGGTAGCAGTGTATGGGACTCTTTGCCACCAGTGAACTGGTCTTAGAACTCATTAGATTTCCTTGGGCTCCTCAGTCTTGAAGTCCATCCTTTTCCACCCTTGCCCCTTATGCCCAGTCCTGACAAAACACCAGTGTGAGCATGGGTGGCTGCCACCCCAAGGTCAGATGTCCAAGTCAGACCAAGAGGGCAGAAGATTCGCAGGGGCTGGGAAAGGAGTAAACTTTGAATTGGCTGAGTTCGGTGATCTGGGAAGAAGGAACCGCTGTCAAAGTTGGCAGGGGTGGGGGTCCTGTCGTCATTTCAAGGCAGTGAATTGTAAGGCTCTGGCCTGTCCAAGGTTGGCACTCCTGAAGCCCCCATCAAGAAGAAACGCCCCCCTGTGAAGGAAGAAGACCTGAAGGGGGCCCGAGGGAACCTGGCCAAGAACCAGGAGATCAAGTCTAAGACATACCAGGTCATGCGGGACTGTGGTGAGTATACTCCAGGCATGTGGGAGGGTTGGAGACATAAGCACCCCACCCCAGTGGTAGGTGAGAGATGTTGAGGGTTTCTGGGCATAGGCAGGGCTGCACCCAACACGGGAAAACCTCTGAGAAAACCAGTTTCCGTCCCTGATGCCACCTCCTTCATCTCTTGCCTACAGAGCAAGCTGGCTCAGCTGCCCCATCTGTATTCAGCCGCAACCGCACAGGCGCTGAGACAGTCTTTGAGAAGCCCAAAGACGGACCTGCCAAGAGTGTCTTTGGCTGAGAAGTACACCTGGACACAGGAGCCTTTCCCATAAACTTTACTTTTTTTTTTTTTTTTTTTTTTTTTTTTAATGCTGGAAGATGCCTTTCCCCTGCTATCTCTGGAACCATCATGACTCCCCACAGCCTTCGCCCTTCTTTACCAACATCCTGGAAAAGCCAATAAAGAGAATGCCCAAGTTGTTCCAACCTTGGAAAGGTGTCTTGGTCAGTGCCCACGGCCACTAACTGGAGAGGAAAAGAGGAAAGTATGGGGATATAACATATTCAGTGCCCTTCCTGGGCTCTGAGGAGGGCCAGGGAATAATGTGAGTGCTTTCAGGACCACTGAGGCATACTAGAAAGAGCTGGTACGGACCTTCTGATGGCTGTAGACTTGCCTATTCTTTCTAATTGTTTCAGGCTGGAGAAATGATGCCATAGCTAAGAGTCCTTGCTCTTTGTTTAGAAGACCCTGGTTAAGTTGCTAGTATCTACATGGTGGCGCACAACCATTTAACTCTGTCACCCTGTTCTGACCTCTGTGGACATTGCATACATGTGGTACACCTGTAGTCAAAGTATTCCTATACCTAAAATAAAAATGAATTTTAAACCTAACCCTTGGTTTCCCATCATTTACAACAGGAGAGTTGAGTTGATGCCAGTTGTGTAAAGCAGGTCCCAGTGGCACTGCTCAGAGTGAAGTCATTGAAGGCCAAGCTCCCTTTGCCTGCCACAGAAACCACTGACAGGTTTCCAAGGTCCGCAAAGCCCTTTGCCCGTGCACCTTTGCCCATGCTGCTTCTTGACTGTGTCTGCATATCAAAGTGAAGACTAGGTATGGCTCCTCTGGCCTGTGGCAGTGTGTTTCCTGAACTTTCCCGCCCGCCACGCCCTGCCCCTAGCATGTTGTCTGGGGCAGGTAGATCGAACACCAGGTTCCTAGCTATGTTCAATCTGCCTCTTCAGACCTGTGTCCTGAGTGTGCTGTGTCAGGTTGAGGAGACTCAAAGCCTGCCCAGCTGGGATGGCAAGAACAGGCAGGCTAACAGTGGCTCCTGGGAGCAGACTGGCAGGGCTTGGCTCTTGGATGACCCCTGCTGGAAGCTCTTCATGTCCTCTGGACGGATAGAGCATTTCTCACATTCTTAGCCAGCTTGACCTTCTCATACAACTCTGGCTCCAGGCTGGGCCTGTGCTCTGGGTCCCAGAGGAGAGGACCTTCTCTGGGGACAGAGTCTGTAGTTGCTCAATGGACCTCTTATTAATGTTCTTCCCAGAAGAGCTGTGTCCCCTGGGTTACCCCAGTCCCATCCAGAGCCAAGAGGGTGAGCAGGTGCACGGAAGTGGGGCCTCTGACCATAGCCTTGCAGGTAGAGGGAAGCAACAGAAATTGTTCCAAAGTCTGTGATGCCCAGTGCTAGGTCCAGATGCCACCAGCCTTAAGGTAAACTGCACTTGTAGACAACATACTAGCAGCTGGCCATACTTTCAGGTCCATAGACTCGGGAGTGACCCTTCCAGAGTCACCAGAGAACATCAACTCTTAACTGCATCAAATACCCAATATTTGTTCACTTTATCACACTATTTGTTATTTAAAAAACAAAAACAAAACAACTACTTCATGGGCAAGGGAGAGACATGCATCCTCCACTCCCCACTCTTCAGGCATGCCCACCTGGTTAATAAGACCCTGTCTGGAAACATCTAGGGTATTTCCCCAACTTCTTAGGGAAGGAAGCCTGTTTCCTCCAAAGCTAGGCTCATGGGGAGCACACTGACCTCACCCTACAAAATTTGGTGGGTGGGTAAGTATGTTGTGATCCCTGGAAGTCTAGACCCCGCAGATGGGGTGTGAATAACAAGCTCTAGCCTGAGCATGCTTTCCCTGGGGTATGCCCTGCTGTCAGCAGAGTTTACTGAACATAGGTCATTTGTCTCCTTATCTGAGGCCTCTGGGATTTTTGGCTTAGAAACCCCCATTTCCTAGAACTTGCGCCAGCAGGGGCAGGCCGGACGGTAGGTTACCAATTTATAATCCACCTGCCCTCAGGTTCCGAAGCAGCGTGGAAGGCAACCGGAGGCAAATGAAGAGCCTGGCCCCTGCCCACATGTGGAGCATTGTGCTAGTCTTGCCCTCACTGCTGGCTGTGCTTCACACCACCACTGCTGAGAAGGTAGCAGTACCCAGATGTGCCTCTGTGTATTCTTGTGTCTGTGTGGTGTGAGCTGGGGAATGAGCGAACACATCTGGGCAGTTGTGGAGTGCCTTTGAGTATGCAAGTAATTAAGTAGGTGTGTGTGCAGGTCAGTGTGTGTGCAAAGACACGGTGCTGACTAGCCACCAGGCACCTTACCGGAGATCCTTACAGGTTCTCTGTAATAGAAGGAATGATGCTATTCTTGCCGTTTTATAGACAAAGGAGTGGAGCCGATTGCCCCTGAGGCTGACAGAAGAGCCGAGCAGGTCAGAATGTGGCAGCTCTTCTGTTCTAGATGAATGACCTCTGGGAATTATTTATATGTTCTATCTATCAGTTTCCTCATCTGAAAGGGTGGTAATATAACCTGCTCGGCTGTGCTGGCTAGTAATCAAGGCCATAATATCTGGGAGGCATTCAGTGCCATGCATGGTACAGAGCCGACGTTTGACCTGGAAGCAGGCCATGCCATCCCTCGGTGCTAAACTGAGAAAGGTAGCCACGAGTATCTGAACATTTCCATGTGCACAGCATAGCACATGGGGCAGGTAGAGGAACATGGAGTTGTGTAGTATAAATATCCTTTCTTAAGGAATTGCTGGCCTCGGGGCAGAGTGTATGTGGTGAGTAGTACCCTGTGGAGGGGTTGGGGCAGAGGGGCCGTCGCAGGGAAAATAGGCAAAGATTTTCACTCCTGAGAGACCTGATCCTCCACAGGTTCTCACAGCTCCCGTGACAGATAGATGGGAGTGTGACAGGGATATTGTCCCATTTTCACGGAGGCCAGAATTTAAAAAAAAAAAAAAATGAAAGAATTTTGTCTACTGCCCTCTTACTAGGCACAGCTCAGCCTGCACACAAGGGTGCTGGCTCCAGGCTCCTCCCCTCTGCCCAGATGAGAGATGTGATCTCTCTAGGCTGGGACTGTTACCGTCGTGTGCTTGCTGTTTCCCATTGAGACTCTGCAGGCCTACTCCATGATGCTGTGTTGTGGGGGATGAGGTCTACAGCTGCCTCTGACTTCATTCACATGTGAAATGCTTGATGAGGTTCAGCCTGAGGCCTAGACAGTATCTGGGTCAGATCAAGGTGGGAGGTTGGTCTAGAGCCAGAGTCAAAACCCTACTCTTGAAGAACTGGGGGTTGTCAGTTAAACAACCCAACCCTCTTCCCTTTCCCTTGTCCAGAATGGCATCGATATCTACAGCCTCATAGTAGAGTCCAGGGTCTCTTCCCGATTTGCCCATACTGTTGTTACCAGCCGGGTGGTGAACAGAGCCGATGCTGTTCAAGAGACTACCTTCAAAGTAGACCTACCCAAGAAAGCCTTCATCGCCAACTTCTGCATGTAGGTGTCTCCCTGCTTCTTCACAACCCAGTCCTGCAACTCCACCTCCCCTGGGCTTCAGACAAGTTGTTCCAGAAACTGGCCACTGGGGCACTCCTCCACCTGTCTGGCTCATGGGGAACAAGGATGTTACCAGACCCAGGGATAGCTCTGTCCCTCCTGTCATCTGGCTTCCTCACTAAGTACTGCTAGGTGGCAAACCAAGAACCGCAGCGTCTTGGAGTTTTTGCCTTTGAGAAATACAAGCCTAGGGCAGCTCTAGGCCCAAGCTAGGCACAGGAAGTCACCAAACTCAGATTTCAGCTGAAGAAATATAAAACCCAAGTCCTGGGGTCCTCTTTGTCACTGCAAATTTTATCACTGTCTACTCTGCCTCTCAGGAGATGCCAGGGTTTCGGTGGACTCTGAGCTGGCAGTAGTCCTCACCTGTCCTCAACCTTCCTTCCTGCCCCTGCCCTGATCTATTTTGCAATGTTTGTTAAACTTGACAAAAGTCCATGCCTCCTGGAGAGGCAGGCATCGAAGGCAGGCTGCTCCCAGTAGGGGGAGCATTTAGGGGTGGAGGAGAGCACTGGCTAGGGAGGGTATTGCAGGGGTTAAGGCTAGGTTTCCTGTGTTGGTCCTCCCTTTCTCCCCATCCTCCTTGACCCCAGAAAAGTTTCTGTTTGCTGACCCTGGAGCTCAGGCCAGTGGGCACAGATCTTTCTACTGCACGAGGCAGAAATGCAGGGCGTGTTTTCCTGTTCCCTGCCCTGGCCAAAGAGCTTCTGAAGAAGTGATGAACTTTCTCCAGGAAAGTCTGGAAAGGAAGATGCCTGTTCTGTGTATTCAGCTAGGTCCTCTCTCCTCTCCCTTCTCTGCACACTTCCACCTTCTCACACCACTCCCAGAACAAGCAGGTATCCATTTACTGGTTCCTATTCACCTCAGAAGGAGCTCCTTGGAACAGCCATTGAATGTGCAGAAAAATGGCCTTGGTAGTTCCTTCTCAACCTTGAAGAACAGCTGCTAGAAACTTGTCCACATGCCCAGGAGGTTTGGGGGAGAAGCTGTAGAGAATAGGATCTCAGCCTGCAGTCCTGTGTCTCCCTCCTGCTCAAGCCTGGCCAGTTGAGGCAGATGCAGGGCTGAGTACAGAGCAACGTACTACTCTCCGGGCTTTGCTATGATTGGCTGGTACTTCAGAAAAGTTCAGAAGGGTCATGGGGCAGTTTGGAATGCGGACTGATTTTAGCTCAGTCCCTCCTCCTCTATAATCTTCTGCTCTGTCCCTACAGTAAAAGCTCATGTGCACTAACACTATGCATGTTTCAGGGCCTCTCCCGGTGTCTTACATAGGGTCTTCTACACAGTAGGTGCATGATAAATGGCATTGACCTTGGGCAAAGAAGGGAGTCATATCCAGAAGCTCACCAAATTCTAGAAAGGCCCTTCTAAAAAAGTTCTCAGCTGTTCTTTTCCCTACCTAGGAGCATTGATGGCACGGCCTATCCAGGGATTGTCAAAGAGAAGGCTGAAGCCCAGGAGCAGTACAATGCAGCCGTGGGCCGAGGAGAGAGTGCTGGCCTGGTCAAGTGAGCCCATGGGGAAGGGTGCATATAGGTAGAGATAGCCCTACCTTGGCCATTAGCCTTGCTCCCCTCCAGCTGCTATCCCCTACCTGACCCTATAGGTTCTGGTTGTTCTTATTCCCCAGGGCCTCAGGGAGACATACAGAGCAGTTTGAAGTGTCAGTCAATGTGGCTCCTGGTGCCAAGGTTACCTTCGAGCTGGTATACCAGGAACTACTCAGAAGGCGACTAGGAATGTACGAGCTACTCCTCAAAGTGAAGCCTCAGCAGCCGGTCAAGCACCTTCAGGTACCCACACTGCATCTTCCAGGAAGCCCCCTAGATATCTCTAAGGCAGCCTCTCCTTGCCGCTTAGCTTCCTGGGAACACAGCCCACCTCATGGCTTCTCTGGTGACCCGTCTCTCACTTCCAGATGGACATCTACATCTTTGAGCCTCAGGGTATCAGCATCCTAGAGACAGAGAGCTCCTTCATGACCCCGGAGCTGGCGGAAGCCCTTACTACCTCACAAAACAAGACCAGGGTGAGCATGCTATAACCACCAAGTGAGGACACCCCAGGGCCACTCTTTAGTGCAGCCTTTAGACTATGGCTAGATTCCCATAACCCAGAACTATTGGAAGCTCCCTGGGCTGGAGAGGCTTCCGAGATCTGTGCCCATGCCACTACCAAGAAGACAGGACAGTAAGACCTAGAGATGGTCAGTGAGTCCTAATAGGAACGTGGGATCTATGGGGGACGATCATGGAGAGCAAACTTATGGGACTGTCCTTGATAGAGATAAGTGGATTGCACTGAGCCCAGATGCTTACATGTCCCCAGAAAATGGATTTATACACACAGGCCTGCACACACATACCAAATGGAAGCAGTCACCTTTCAACTCAGAATGAAAGTTCTCTCGAATTTTTACCCATGACTGCATATGGAAGCTGATTTCTCTGAGTACACACAGAGGGGTTTGCTGGCATGGCCTCAGTGTTCCTCACAACTTCAGCTTTGATTGTTTCTCCAGGCGCATATCCGGTTCAAGCCGACACTTTCCCAGCAGCAAAGGTCTCAAAATGAGCAGGACACAGCACTGGATGGGGACTTCATTGTCCGCTATGATGTGGACCGGTCTGTCTCTGGGGGCTCCATTCAGGTGGGTGGACTCCAAGCAAGAGCAGTGAAGCCTCAAAGTCTGCTTTGCCTTCATATGTCTAAGCATGAGTATTCTGGGAAAGGGGAGTAACAGCCCCTTCTTTGTACTGTGCACCAGGGCTCAACTCAGACAGAAAATAGGCAGTTTGTTCCGTTGTAGTGACCTGGAATGCTATTCCCTTTCTGGAGTCCCTTTGTCTCTGCAGAGAGCTACACTTTGGAGTTTCTCTCTTTGTATTTGCTGCCCAGAGGCACATAGTTCAGTCTTAACATGCAAGTCCAACAGCTGTGTTCACCATTTGTGCTTCCCCTTCATCCCCTGTTTCCCCAGTGTTCCCTCTTCATGGATAGTGGGCTCATTACATCTGTTAGTATAGACTGCCTCAAACAGTAAAACAGGACCGAGTTTTGGAGCGAGTTCTAGGGCTGTGTGTGAACAGGGCAGTCTTCTGTTAGCAAGAGGCTGAGCTTCAAAAAATGGTGAGGATTTGGGAGATATAAGCAGCTGGGATAGAGAGGGATCATGGAAGGAGAACGCAGGAACCAGGAATTTGGGGTGAGTAGGCCTGACAGAAGTTGTGCAGGGCCTAAGTTCTGATCATCTGAGTGTGGACTCACTGTGATCACAGATTGTGTCTGGCTACTTTGTGCACCACTTTGCTCCAGAGGACCTTCCTACGATTCCCAAGAATGTGGTCTTTGTCATTGATACAAGCGGATCCATGATAGGCAGGAAAATAGAACAGGTAAGTCTCCTAGACCCTGAAATCAGCAGCACCCGCCTCCATTCCAGCATCATGGGTCAGGACTTCCTGAAGCCAAGTTTGGCCCAAAGCATATACTTTGATCCTACCCAAGATACCAGGATAATAGCCCAAGGATCATGCACCTTTAGGGAGCTTCTCTGAGACACCTGCCTTGTCTTCTGTCCCCCTCACTAGACCCGACAAGCCCTAGTCAAGATCTTGAATGACCTCAGCCCTGAAGACCAGTTCAACCTCATTGTGTTCAGTGAGAAAGCAATCCAATGGAAGCTATCGCTGGTGCGGGCCTCAAAGGACAACTTAGGAAAGGCTGTGGCCTATGCTTCCAGGATCCAGGCTCGTGGTGGTGAGTATTTCTGCATCTCAGGAGGCTGGGGACTTCCATGGTCACTGGCTAGGATCAACCCTGAGTGTGTGTCCTTCAGGGACCAACATCAATGATGCGATGCTGATGGCTGTGATGCTTCTGGATAGCAGCAACCAGGCTGAGCTGCTGCCCTCAAATAGTGCCTCCCTCATCATCCTGCTCACAGACGGTGACCCCACTGTGGGTGAGGATACTGTGGCCATTCTGGGGCATGCCAGACCTGGAGAAAGGCTGGAACTGCTTCTGGGCTGGCTATGAAACTTTGGGTAGGGAGAGGGAGAATTGTCAACACCCCTGAAGTTCCAGAAATATCCATTCTTTCTCAACCTATTCCCAAATTCATGAGTCTAGGGGAGACCAATCCCACGAATATCCAGAAGAATGTACAGGAAGCTGTCGACACCAAGTACAGCGTCTTCTGCCTGGGATTCGGCTTTGATGTGAACTATCCTTTCCTGGAGAAGCTAGCACTGGACAATGGTGGCCTAGCCCGGCGCATCTATGAGGACTCGGACTCGGCGCTGCAGCTCCAGGTACCAGCTTGATCCAAGGTGAATGCAATCGGGTAGACCCCGTTTGTCTGGCCTTGGTGACATCCTCCCCTGCCACCCTGTAGGACTTCTACCATGAAGTAGCCAACCCGCTGCTATTAAGGGTAGCCTTTGAATACCCCAGTAACGCTGTGGAGGACGTCACGCGGGACAGCTTCCAACACCACTTTAAGGGCTCAGAGATGGTGGTGGCTGGGAAGCTGAAGGACCAGGGCCCTGATGTCCTTTCAGCCAAAGTCAAGGGGCAGGCGGTAAGTATGGCTGGGTCATCCCGGAGTGAAGGGGCAGCTGGGGCAGCCTCTATATTCGCAGCCAGAGGGACTGGGCTCAAGTCCCAGTAGTACCAAATTCCAGCTGACTGACCTCGACTCAAAGGGCCCTATTCCTCAGGTATTCCTGAGGGAAGCCAGCCTGTCCTGCATCGGTCCCTGGTAGAGATCCAATGGAACAACATGGTGCTGTCATGAGAACTTAGCACATAGGAACTGATCGCTTGGTCTGCCTTACTGCTGCCTGACTCTTCCGTGCATAAGCTGGCAGCCGGTGTTCCTCCCAGTAGCCCATTCCCTCTGTCCTAAGCCTGTAGGGGGTGGGTAGACAGAGAGAGCTGCTGCCATTTCACAGCTGAGCAGACTGAGTCTTCAGGCTGAGGGATAAAGCATTTGTAAATACAGGCAACCCTCCTTACCCTTCTGGGACAGACAACTTGTACAAAACTGGAGTGAGCGCCTACAATGTTCCAGAAAGCACATATCCAGGACTTCAGGAAAACAGTATCTGGAGCCCCACTAAGACCTGGGGTCAGAATGGGATCCCTGTAGGAAGTCTACTAAGTAGGAGGGGGCAGAACACACAAGGAAGGAAGGGCTGTTAGGCTCATATGCCAGCAGGGCACCTTGGCTGCAAGAGAATGCAGTGGGTATGGGAGGCCCAGGGCCTCGTCTAAGATACAGCCAAGGAGTAGGACTGTTCCTGAAAACTGTGGCCAGACAACCTGTCTTCAAACCAAGTGCCACCACCTCCCATAGGTGACAAGTGAGGGAATTACTTAAACTCTTTGTGCCTCAGTCTCCTCTTGATTACAAACATGGCTCACTCATGTGCCTAATTCATAGAACTACTGTGGAATACTTTCTAGCCCCATGTAAACACAAGCATCACTCAGACTTCTAACATAAGGGACTGGAGTGCATATACTTTGTTTTTAGTACTGGGAGTTGAACCTACGGCCGGAAGCAAATATTCCATCACTAAGCAACACCCCCAGTCCTCTTTTTATCTTTTATTTTGTGACAAGAACTTGTTAAGTTTCCCAAGATGACCTTGAACTTACTCTGTAGTCCAGAAGGCCTTGAGTTTTTTATCAGCCTCCCAAATAGCTAGAATTACAGGTGTGTGCCACTGGACTCAGTTCTTGGATGAGCCCAAGAAAACAATATAGTCAAAATTTATTTAGGGAAAAAACATCAAATAAATGGCTTTACTGTATAGATAGGGAGAAACTCTTGCCTGTGGCCTTCATGTACCAAAGCTTTGGCAAGCGAGGTCCTGGGTAAGCGGTGAAAGAGGGCATAAGATCATACAGGCCTCTTAGCTGCCCTTCTGATGAAGGAGGCGTGGGGTATCTTTGCCCCATTTCTCAGGCTGCCATCTGGGATAACCTAAGACCATAACCACCTTTTCCCCTGGGAAGAAAGCAACCAGACCATCATCCCACGGTGGCCAGCCCCAGCAGAGGCTGTGGAGCAGACAGCTTGTTGGGGGTTCTGAAGTTCTAGTCCCAGCTTCCCAGCTCTACTGCTAACTACCAGGGAAGGCTCTTCCTTCCCTTTCTCTTCCTTTCCCCCATGTCTGCGGGAGGGAAACTCTTTCTGCTCTACATTGTGTTTGAGACCTCTTCCTTCTGCACTGGCCTGGACGGTGTTGTTCCTTCTTATGAAAGGTTGGCTGACTGAAGCTCTTGGCTACACAGCTGTCTTGCTATATCTGGACAGCTGCTAACATTCGTCCCCACCACCAGCTTACCATGGAGGATCTGTGGAGACTCCTTACCCTCGAACTCCCTTCCTACCTCCACAGTACTCAAAAGGAATGTAGCCCTCATGGTGGCCCAGTGCTCTGATCTGCCCCAGTTCCAGGCAAAGTGCTAATGAGGAGCTCTGAAGGCTGGGCAGGTGTAGGCATCAGGCCCTCACTGCTCTCACCTGGACTGGTGCCTCTTTCCAGCATCGGCAAAACATCACTTTCCAAATGGAGGCCAGCGTAGCGCCCAAAGAAGAGGAGTTTCAGAGCCCCGAGTACATCTTTGACAACTTTATGGAGAGACTCTGGGCATTGCTGACCATACAGCAACAGCTGGAACAGATGTGAGTGACCCTCGCAGGCCACTGCAGTGGGTTTCCTGTCATATCAGTAAGCCTTTCGGTGGTGGGGCAGGCACAGACAGCACAGGCCGTCTACCGTAGGAAGTGAGATGTTATGTCCAAAATCCACATTCTCCCAAGGGGACTCGCAGGGGAGGCCAGGGAGAGGGGACATTCCGGGATACTCAGAGACCTCCTGAGCTCTTTGTGTCTTCAACCCACAGGGTTTCAGCGTCAGGTGCTGAATTAAAGGATCTTGAGGCCCAAGCCCTGAACATGTCACTCAGATACAATTTTGTCACTCCTCTCACATACATGGTGGTCACCAAACCTGAAGGTCAAGAACAACTTCAACTTGCCGGGAAGCCTGTGGAAGTTGGTGAGTGTAGGGCTGGGATTCAGCAAAACTCCACTGCTTCTAACCAAGTGCCCACCACTGCCATCGTAGATTCCAGCAGCCCCAGGGAGACCCATCTCTGTTCCCTAAGGCCGAAACTAAGGACAGGTCCCGCAGCCCCCTAGACTCACTGCATACACCCTTATGGCCTGGGAATGGGGAAAACAAGTTTAAACATAAGCATCTGAAATTGGCAAAAACACCCTGACGATGCCTGCCTCTCCCCCTTTCTGTTTTGTTTGTTTGTTCGTTCATTCATTTGTCTTTCTTTTTGTACAGGTAATGGACAAAGTCATTTCTCTTTAGGAGGTAAGAGCCTCAGCGCTCGAAGGCCACCCTATGTAGGGTCCACCAGCATATTGAGGGCCACCTTTCCCCCTGCTGCTGGGAACTGGTGTCGCCCAGCCAAACACACCGCTGCACTTAGTCACTCACTCAATACTAGCTACCCCGAGACCTTCACCTGGACTCCAGGTCCATAGTCACCATCCAGCCGGAGCTCCAGAGAGCTGGCTCCAAGGAGTAAACCCAAATCTCACTGTCTTGCAGCTCACAGCCCTCTTTTAAAGTCTTCTTCCAGAGGATCTGTATCTCTCACGCGAAAAGGTAACAATGGAAGAAGGGCGGGGAAAATGGAAATTGTAGAACTGTGGCAGGATTTAGACTGGGCTCTGCACTTGGCTGTGGGAGGATGGTGCCTAGCTTTGTTCACTGGGTTGGTAAAAGGCCTGTGACTCAAGATTAGGTGTGTTTAATTAGGAGTTGGCTGTCTAGAACCTTACTTGACCCAGAGAAAGGGATTCAGTAATCAGGGTAATATATATAAGGGCACTGCCCCCGGGAAGGATTGCCTAGCCAGGAGAGGAGTTCCACCAGTGTCTGTCTCCCGACTAGGGGAGGCTCTCCAGAAGAAAACGGGCTACGCACCCTATCTGCATCCTATTGCTGGCATGAAACCCTAGTCCTGGCTGTGGGGACCTAGGACATTCCTGGGAGAAACTGTTCATGTCAATACTTTTAGTATCTAGATTCCATAAGCATCCTGGACTCAGAGGTGCATACGTTACACTTACACCACAAGCTCCTCCTCCTGGACTTCCTGGGCCTCCCGGGCCACCTGGTGATCTTCACCTTACTCCTGGCCTTTCCAGCGTGCTGCATACCTGGGGAAGGATGATAGACCAGCCGTCCTTATGTGAGCCCCTTTCTGACCCACAGTGGGTTTCCTTCTTTCCTAGCTCAATGACTCTGACCCAGAGAGGGAGGGAAAGCACCAGGCACAGGCTGGGCAAGGACATCTGCAAAGAACGCAGGTGGCCTGGGCTTAGCTGGGACCCTGTCCTAAGGCAGAGCCAGGAGCCAGGGGCTGGGGATAAGAACACTATATCATGGGGCTGCCCTCACTTTTCTGTCTCTCAACCTTCCTTCTCTTCAGCAGTTTGTTTCCTGGCTATTGCTATGTCCCCAGATTGCCAGTCCATAGCGTAGCCTCTCCTGTGAGGCCCCAAGAGAACTCCTACTAGGCTCTTGGCCCAACTATGGCCAATCCTTTCCTTCTTGAGGCACCTCTTCCCCTACTGGGGGACACCAGGCCTCCCTCCCTCAGAGCAGGACTTTGCACACATCCTCTGTTTTCTGAGGACTCAGTCCTCATGCTCTGCATGATGGAAAAGGGAGTCATCCCCATTTCTAGAGTCAGCTGTGGTCCCTTGTACCGTCTCATTCCCAATCTGAACTCAGACTCAGTCAGGACCCATCTCCCTGAAATCTCCCTTGCCCCTCTAGGCCCGAGCTTGGTGGGCAGTAGGGAAAGGGTCAGGGGCCCTGCAGGTGCAGAAGGCCCTTCATCCTGACTGCCTCTCCCTTTCTGACCAATGTTCCTGTGCTCACACTCAGCGACAAGCGTTCCCGTCCTCCCAAGTCAAGCTGTGTTACCAAGCGTGGAGAAGAAAGATGAAGGTACGAGGGTTAGTGATGCAGCTAGTAACAGACCACTTACCCAGAGCACATGAGTCTCCAGCCCCAGAAACAAACAAAACTCGTAAAGATACCCAAGCCAGAGCTCCCACAGTAGCTCCTGAGAAGGGAGAGCCCTGGCGGTAAGGGAGAGTCCTGGTTCTCTGTAGCCTGTTACCTGGTGTTCTACATGTTAAAGTGGAAAGAAGCAGCCCCAAGCACAGTCACCCACCTCTCCATCAACAATGCCCTCTTCCCCAGAGGTGGGCTGCCTAAGCCTAGAATTCTTCCTTCTTTTAGAAAGCACCGTGCCAGAGGAACCCACACACCCAGGTAAGCATTGCTCCCAGTCTCCCTCCCCACCTTTGCCCCCTAGACTTCTCTTCCTGACCCAGGAACTATGTACTGGCTACCTCAGGCCACCCCCGCGCTCCTTCCATCGTCCTGCCACTTCCTGGATCCAGTGTGGACCAGCTCTGTGTGGATATCACACGTTCTGGGACATCCATGAAGCTGCTCATAGACCCTGGTCAGGGTAAGAGATGTTTCACATATATCCGTATAGAAGCCTAGAACTCATTCATATGACCTGCCCCAGCCACAGCAATATACTCATCATGGGCAAATGTCCTGTGCACCAAAAAGGCCCTCCCTCCCATAGCCACCCACAGGCTTTCACTGGAAACCCCACAGGACCCACACACAATTTCCAGAGCTGAGAGGGGTCAGGGAGCTGTACAGGGTTGCTCACGGTTGTCAGATGAGCCAAGAGAAGGGTAAGGGTGCTGCAGGTAGAAGAGACAGAGCTGAGGAACAGAGGGCCCCTATGTCTCCGTGGGCCGCTAGTAGGATGGAGGAGGAGGATGGTTGGAGAAGCAGATGTTCTTTCCAGACTCTACTCACTAATCCTGGAATGGCCTCACTGGCCAAGCTGAAGTGTCTAGGCAGACAAAGGGATGTGCAGTACTCAGGGCTGTTCATGCTGAGTTATGAAAAACTCTGGGACAGCCACAACGCCCTCCCTCCTCTCAGAACCACGTGCTCTCCTGCTTCATCACTCAGGCTCAGGTGCCTGTCTATTCTCTGAAGCAGGGACTTTACACCTAACCGTCATCCGCGCAGCAAACTCAGGACCCAGGCACACTGCAGGGGACGGGTGAATGCTTCCACACTCTAAATAGGGTCACCCTTCCCCTTCACAAAAGTCTACCAGGGCGGCCATCAACAGGATTTGAGGGCCAATTTGAAGTCCGGAATACTGGGAAACTAAAGTTTGAGTGGAGAGATCATAAGAACTAGACCTGAGCCAGGCATGATGGTGTACAGGTTTAATCCCAGCACTGAGGAAACAGAAGCAGGCTGTGAGTTTGAGGCCAGCCTGGTCTATATAATGAGTTTCCAGGCCAGCCTGGCCTACCAGGTGAGATCTTGTTTCAAAAAATGAGGAGAAGGAGAAGCAGGCTTGAAGTGGAAGCATTGCTGAGCAGAGGGACCCTTCTGGGGACCCAGTTCTAGAAAGAACTAGTCAGGGAAGACCCCACATTCAAGCTGTTGCTCAGAATCGACTTTGAAATCTCCCATCTGGCCTCCTTAGGGCTGCAGGTGATTGGTAAGTATGAGAACACAGCGTTCTCATGGATCGAAGTGACCATCCAGAAGCCTCACCTGCAGGTTCATGCAACCCCGGAACGTGTGGTGGTGACCCGGGGCCGAAAAAACTCTGAGTACAAGTGGAGGGGGACACTGTACTCTATGTTGCCTGGGTAAGTCCAGGGCGGGGTCCTAGGCGTGTGGCCTCTCAAGCTGCGCTGACTGTGATGTTAGTGATGATGTTGGGGGGGTGAGGCCACAGGTGAAGTGGTGGGTTAGGAGTCACCTGCAATGCGCTGCACCCCTGCTAGGACAGGTCCATTGTAATGTCCTGCAGCTCTAGAGGCATCATCCTGGGTTCTGGACCTCATCACTAACCCAGGTCACTAGACCAGGTAGAGGTGGTGCAGTTTGGAGCATGAGCCACATAGCCCTTCTGTCTTCGTTCCCTTGCTCATCAGTAGACTCCTCCAGATTCCGAGTCAGAGGCCTAAGGGACCCTCGGACAGATGGACTTGGGGGAACACGGTATAGTGTCTCCTACATGTACTGCCCGGTGAGCATGACATCATGATGACATCATGAAAAGCCTGAGGCATGACTCTGGGGCCTATGAATGTTCCCCTTGCTGCAGTCTGTGACTGTTCTAGTAGCTGTAATATGCACCTGGGAGGAACAAGGGAAGAAGGGTGATTTGGGCCAGAGTTTTCCAGCCATGGTCATTTGGTCCTGTTGTTTCTGGGCCTAGGCATGGTGGGGTAGATCATCACGGTGGGAAATAGGGGGAACAAGCAATGTGGCTCCCCTCATGACAGCCAAGAGGTGGAGACAGCAAGGGGCCACATGCCTGCCTAGCAAATGTTTTCCTGCTTTTTTGTGCTATCTGGGCCTAATATCCCAGTGATGTCTGGAAATGCCTTTATAGACGCATTCAAAAATATTATTTTGTAATCTCCTAAGTCTTTCACAGTCCAATCAAATTGACATTAAGATTAATCATCAACTTGTATGAAGCTTTGGCAAGGACAGAGCAGTTTGGCCACAGGTTGGGAAGCTGCAGGAAACGGAGGCAGGTGATGACTCTGGGAAGTGTGACTGTCCACCGTAAGATTTTTGGGGACAGCTCTCTAGCTCTGCAAGTCATAGGTAGCTGAAGCCCTTTTGCTTTTTTCTTCTGGGTTATTCCATAGCCTATCTTTTTTCAGACAAAGGGTCCTATCCATTGCTATCTTGCCAAGCCTTTAGCAGGGCCTTGCTTACATTTGACAAATAAGAATACACACAGAAAATCCTGGGGGCTCATCTGAAGTCCTTCCAGTGTCATAGAAGATGTAGTTTCTTATCAAGGTGGGCATAGTGGCACCTTTAATCTCAATGTTACAGAGGAATGGCAGCTTCTTCTTCCACTTGATGGGGCAGAATGAGAAAACACCTCCCCTGCGGATGTTAAAATGTATTGTTTAACAGCAATAATTTAGAAATGTGGCACCAGCTATAAAAACATACATGTACCAGACTTTCCTGGTTGTGAGCAGAAACCCACAGGAAACATCTTAAGAGAGAGAGGGAGGATTTATTCTGTCCACATCAGAAGTTTCAGTCTATCATGGCAGGAGGGCATGGCAGAGCAGAGAGTGCCTGCAAGAAAGACCTCTCCTTTCCCTTTCTCCCTTTTATTCTACCCAAGCCCCAGTTTATGGGATATTTTTCAGGACAGGTCTTCCCCCTTCATTTAACTTCCAGAAGTATAGACACATCCAGAGAGAAGTTTTTCTAATATTCCAAGTGCTTCTTAGTATGGTTATATTGACAATGACTGTTATCCATCACCCCCCAAAAATTGTATAAGATTCATTCATGAGAAATCAATTTTAAAACCAGAGGAAAGGAATTATTATTCTCTTATAAACAGTGCAAGGAAATTGGACATCATTAAGCTCACTTTAGTGCTATCTTACCAGTGAGGAAACTGCCTAAGGCTACACAACGACTCCCTGGTCAAGAAGAGAGTCCCCAACTCAGCTGCCACTTTGGCATCGCCTACTGAGACTCCACGCAGGTGTCTGTGCCTTCCTGTTCAGGGTATGGTGTTTCTCTGCAGCTTGAAGATAACCATGGACAAGATGGGACTCCTACTGATCAGTGGCCCAGACAGAGTAACCATTGGCCTCTTGTCCATGGATGACCCTCAGAAGGGAGTGATGCTCCTGTTGAGTAACACCCAATACTTCTCCAACTACACCAAAGGGGACCTCGGTATGCCGCTTGCCCTTAGAAACCACCTGTGACTGGGCACAGGCCGTGCCTCTCACTTCTTCCCACCTGCCTCACTGTCTGTATCCCTTACTACCCTTTTACCTCAGGTCGCTTTTACAAGGATATCACCTGGGATCCACCAGTTGGGGAAGAGGGTACAAAGCGGACACTCAGAGTTGACGAAATCCACTACACCGCTACCAAGTAACTACACAACCAGGCCACTGAGCCTGCCTCTGGTGGGGGTAGGGATTAGGAGGGTGAGAGCTGGGGTCTACAGAACCACACTCCTGTCCTTGCTTGGGAACTAGAAACAGATGAAAGAACGATTCCCCCACAAAGGATGGTAAGCTGGGACGCTGGGTTGTGGGTGGTAGCATGGTTATGTTGTCCCTTCCCCAACTTCCTGGGCTTAGAAGTCCTGGGCTTAGAAGACTTCTCATACCAAGTCACTTGAATAATCCTGTGGGCAACTGGGCCTTCCTGACCCATGTCAGAGGGAATTCTGATGGAATTTGAGACTCCCTGCCTCCCATGTTCCTGTCTGCAACCTTCTCCCATTGCTTTCATCTTACCTGAGATTTGTTGGCCATCTATCTATTTTTTTCTATCTGTTTTTCTGTTGTCTTCCTACCCCAGAGAGCTCAAGTTGAAATACCAAGAAGGATCCCTAGGAGCAGAGATTTCCTGCTGGACGGTGAAGATATAGCACTGTTAGGATCAGTGCTCCCTGCCATGATGTCATTGTTTGCAGAAGGATGGCACTCTATGCCAACCAGGCCACCTGTGAAGCCTAGAGCTTCCACTGTTACAAATAAAGAAGGATGGTGTGAACCCGGGGAGTTGGTGTCATGATTCCATAAGGCCAGTCCTGGGGGACTTAGGGTCCTAACCTGAATGTTCTGTCTCATACAACATTAGACTCTTTCGAAACTGGCCCTCAATATCCTGGGGCCAGGGAAGCCCATAGAAAGTTTTTCAGCCTCATCTTTGCCTTTGTCACAAGAATCTAAAACCAATCATTCAAACCGTCAGTGCAGCACCAAGTGAGGGGCCCCAGAACTAAAGAATGCTCTCCAGAGAAAACAGGGTTCTGGCTACGTTATGGTTGTCTGGACCATGAAAACTAGCTTTGACTCAAAAAGAGTAAACTGGCTTGGAAAGTTGTGTGACTTTTTTTTTTTCTTGAAGAGATGTGAATGAATGTTGAGAGTATTCTTTTCATCCCAGAGAGGGCATCTATGGCAGATCAAAGAAAGGATTCCACGCTAGTCCACTTGGTAAGTCAACGTGTTTATTGAGTACCTACAGGAGCATGGATGAGGGGTTACTTACAAGAGTGTAAGTGGCTCAGAGACAACTGTACCCATCATGGAAGATGGCTCTTGGAGATTGGCAGCTGGAAGGCTGCTCTCGAAGAGGCCCAGAGTTCAGGTCCCAGAATCTCCCCCACCACAGAAAAGTCAGAAGGGGCTGAAGAGATGGGTTAGCAGTTAAGAGCATTGGCTGCTCTTCCAAAGGTCTGTAGCTTACAGACAGATATTGTAAGGAGAATAGAACTGTGAGTATTTGAATAAAAGAGCCAAGCAGTAGGAGAGCAAAATGAGACACCAAAACAGAGGAAGCTGCAGAAGCAGCTGACCGCAATACTTCGCTCTAAACTTATTAGCCAGGAAAACACATGAATTGGACTAGCCCACTTGCTCACTATGAATTGGACTAGCCCACTAGACCAGACTGCCAGAAAAGTACCTTTTCTGTGCCAGCCTTTGAGCAGTAGGGGGTGTTAGTCGAGCGAGTGTTTCTGTACAAGTGATCCATCAGGCCAATGGGTGAGCTTCTGGCAGGCTTGCCCATGTGTAAGAACACCATTCACTGTTGCTCCTCCAGCCAGCCTCCTTGGCAGAGGTCCTCATGCCAGACCATTAGACAAGAAAGCAGCACAGAGTTGGGGGACTTGCTCTCTGGCTACAAACAGGTGAGCCTGCCTCGCTCAAGTTCATCCTTCTAGGACATAACCGTCTGGGCCTGGCCCAAGGGTCAGTGCAACCTCTGTGGCATCACAGTTGACTGCCAGCACCTGCAGGACAGTTGCACTACCCTTCTCTACCCACTGGGGGCTGCTCCCGGCCCTGGGCCAATAGCTGGGATCACACTGGGCATTGCCTCAGCTCTGTTGCTGTGACAAAATACTCTGACAGAAGCAACTTAAGTGATAACGGTGTCTGTGGTGATCTGGCTCTCCGTTTCAGGTTACAAAGTCCATCACTGTGGGGAAATTAAAAGGGCAGGGACTTGACTCAAATAGTCACCCTGAAACGGCTAAGGTGACACCATCTTTTCCTGACTTTGTGTCTGCCTTTACATTTCTTAGACACACACACACAAACACACGCACGCATGCACGCACACACGCACACGCCAGTACCCACATCTGCCTTGGCAACACTTTTGAGACTGTCTGTGACCCTGACCTTGGGCCATATTTATTAACCAGAACAACAGATGTTGAACAAGCTAAAACATAAAACTAAAATAAGAGGCAGTGTAAATCAATAATTGTCATGTGTTATCTGGAAGATAGTGCTAAGCTCTGCAAAACGACAGGTGTTGTTCTGACCTCCTGTGAACACTGATGCAGTTGTGAGTTTTGTCCTTTAAAAGCCGTACCCCTGAGCTTCAGTGCCGTGAGACTGAGGCACGAGCCCGCTCTTGGACATCGGCTTATTAAATGACATAGACTTTGATTTGACTTAATTAGCCGACTGCCTGTCTTGCCCCGGTCAGCACCACATCCACCCTACAGAGCAGAGAAGAACACATTGATGTCTCCACATCAGTGCTCACCTGGCTGCTGCTCTCTTTTCCAGTCCAGAGTCCAGCCCAAGAAATGCTGCCGCCAACGTGCAGGGGCCAGTCTTCCCACTTAGACTAAGAAAATCCCTCACAAGCTGGCCAATTCCTAAACAAGTCCTCGCCTAGACTGCCTCCACAAGTGATTCTGATTTCGTCAAGGTGTTAAAACTAACTTTGACAGATAGTTGCCCATCCTGGGGATGTCAAGAAAGTCTTCATGGGGTAGTTCTGAATGATAAGGGGAAGTTGACCCTGAGGAAGGAGGGAGGACACCGATGTGGAGGGGGCAGCAGGAGCCTAGGCCTACAGACAGGACACTGCCCTGAGTTCTGAGAAAGAAAGGTACTGCAGGCTGGTGAGGAAGGGCCAGGCCAACCCAGGCAGCACGCCCTTCGCCTGGAGCAAGGCCTGTGTCCTGATGTCTGGCTCTCAATGGGGTGCTGTAGGAGGAGGGAGAAGAGAGCCTGCCTGATGCCTGGGTGAAGGTGCCTCCCTGCTTGTGTGTTGAGGGAGGGGCAGGATTTGGGCTGGGTTATTTCTCCAGCCTTCTCACATTCACCCTGCATCAGAGAAAGGCCTTCAGTTTGGGAGCCATGTCTCTAGAGCGGTAGCAACCAGGAGCCATCTCCCCTCCCTCCAGGCCCTTGGCCAGTGTGAGCCCTGGAAAGTCAGCCCTGACCCCAGCAGTGGGGAATGCCTGTGGGTCTTCTGTCGTGGGAGATGAGATGAATCCTGTGACCCATCGCCACGTGCTGCCCCTATACCACATTCATGTACATCCGTGTACATGTGTCTGCACTCTGCACTCAAGATGTTCCTTAGTTTGATTCCTAGCTCTAGCCTTATTAACCTGCCTGCTCAGCTCGAGCAAGTCACCGCCCACTGCTTCCTTTTCCAAGATCATCTGCCCAGCATCCCTTAGGCCCCCAGTCAGAGACAGCTGAGGAGGCGAAGGATCCAGGCAGGACGATCAATTATAGTTAGAAGCAGCCTGTGTGTCTACAAACTGAAGAGAAACACGTGGTGTATGCACAGAGGATAGAGGAAGGCATCTTGTCGCAAGAGCAATGAAGGGGCTGACCTAGTGCACAGGTTCACGTAGAGCAAGGGTCAGCTGTGCTCTATGCGAAGCTCCTCCGACGCCAAGCACTCAGGCTGGAGACGCCTTGGAGGCCCCCTAGGGACCCCTCTCTGCCTCCCTAAGCCCCCCAGGTTTGTTGGAAGAGAGGAAGTGGCCATCACGAGGCGCCTGAAAGATGCCAGTGAGGCCTGGCCCTACTGAAGGGCCCGTTTTCACAACTTTGACAGTTGTGAAAATAGGGAACGTGTTACACGTCTGTGGCTGCCTCAGATCCTGGCTGCTGACTCCATGGATGGCTGGGTGCGTGGAGGCAAGTGAGTGGATGGAGAACTGGGGGATAGTTGAGTAGATGAGTGGCTGTGTTTTACATCTGGAATGTCACCAAAAACCTATGTGCTTATAGCTTGGCCACCTGCTTGTAGTGCTATTAGTCGGTGATGGAAGGGGAAGGAACTTGGGTTACTAAGGGCCATGTCCTTGAAGGGAGCTCTGGATTCATATTCACTCCCTCTGTGTCTCTGTCTCTCTCTCCCCTTCTTCTCCTTCACCTTCCTCTCATGTATCCCAGACTGGCTTTGAAGTCCTGATCTTCCTGCCTCTACCTCCCAAGTGCTGTGATCACAGAAATGCGCCACCATTTGCATCTGTTCCTCCTCTTTCCCCCCTTCTTCCTGTCCTCCTTCTCCTTCAGTTTTTAACTTTTTTTTTTTTTTTTCTGAGATAGAATCTTGTATGTGCCCAGGCTGGCCTGAAACTCTCTAAATAACTGCGACTGACCCCAAATCTCTTGCCTCTGCCTCCCAGTTGTTGAGCTTACAGGCGTGTGTCACCAGGCCTGGCTCTCTCTTTCCTTTTTGGCTACCGTAGGGTAAACAGACTTCTGCTGATACATGGCCCTACCATGATGTATTGTGCCCCCATACTACCACAGTGTCAGAGCCAGGCAGCCATAGTTGACCTCTGCAGTTGTGAGACAAAATGAACATTCACTCTTGTTACTGTGTAAATATGAACTGTCCTCCATAGGCTCATGTGAACCATTCAGTCCAGCAGATAGTAGCACTGTTTGAGAAGGTCTTAGAACCTAACAGGGTGGGGCCTAGCTGGAGGAAGTGGTCACTAGGGGGCAGGCCTTCATGAGTTAGACCTGCTCCGGGTCAAGACAGGGTTCCTCTGTGTAACTTTGGCTGTCCTGGACTGGCCTTGTAGACCAGGCTGGCCTTAAAAACCACAGCAATCCACCTGCCTCTGCCTCCCGGAGTGCTGGGACTACAGGTGTCTGCCACCACGCCTGGGTGCCTTTCTGTTTCTTAAGTAGTGGCTCACAAAGGCACTCAGAGACTTGCAGCTGTCTTAGTTTAAGTGCTGGGCTTTATTGTCCAGGTCGTTCCCATGAGCCCCGTTCTGTGCCCCTGTTCCAGGCAACCCAGACTTTCTACTGCAGCAGCAGCTGGCAGGTTTACTCAGAACAAACTGGGGACAATGTAGTCTGTATGGACACCGTCGATCAGCCCCTCCCCGTTGTTATGGACAAACCAGCAGATGACCTTGGTGCCAACACGGGCATCCTTCCTGTAATCTTTCTGGGAGCCCCTGCGAGAAAAGAAAGAGATGCTGTAATGCCCAGGGTGAGCAGCACAGCTGTGGGCACCACGGGCCTAAGGTAGAAGGAAGCTGGAGAATCTTTTTACTGGTTTTGCAGTTCCAGGATTAAATCCAGGGCCTCACATGTCCCAAGTAAGTGCCCTACCACTGAGCAACACCCCTCCACCTAGCTCCTGAAATGAGATTTTTATTTTTAATTGATATTTTAATGTTTAAGGCAGGGTGTCCTGTAGCCTAGGCTATCCTTGAAATTGCTTTATAGTCAATAACCTTGAACTCCTGATCTTCCTGCCTCCACCCTAAGGGCTGAGACCACAGGCTTATGCTACCATGCCTGGCTTGAAGTTGAAGAGCCTAGAGTTCTTTTGTCACAAGTGAAGTCGTGTGACTGTTCTTTCTAGGGAGCCAGGTTGGCGCTGTACCTTGATTAGGAGGAGTCTAAGAGGGCCAAGACCTCAAAAATAAATGAGTGTCCCAGAGGAAAAAAACAAGAGCCCACTGAACTAGGTGCCACGGCACAGGGGTTCTTTCACCCTGTCTTGGCACTGGGTGGGGTGAGGGTGTCAGAGATGCCACCTCACCTTGTGACAGTCAAGCGGTGGTTCTTCACCACCATTGTGGCATCTGGCTTTGTGGGGTCAGAGCCTGGGCGGACGTTGAACACTTCAAAGTCAAAGGGCTGGAAGAACTGGCCTGGGGATGAGAATATTGACAGTTAGCCTTTGTCCATTGCCATGGGTGCCATGGCCACTGGCTTTTCTGGATTGATGCAAAGGCTGAACAAGCAACTTGTGAACCAGGTACAGGGGACTAGGAGGCTTGTAGCTTTGGACATCTATTTCCAGTGTTTCTGTGTAACTAAGTAGCCCATAGTCTAGTCAGAGTATTGCATACCCAGCAGCCCATGTGTCTGTGATGACATCCGGTGACTGTCCACCACGTAGAATCCTAGGAAGTCCTGGTGAACCGGATGTTTCTTCCAAACCTGGTGTAGAATCACCACAAAGGTAATCCCATCTCCAAAGGACACCACCATGTTTTTTTTCCTGTTGATTGTTACAGACAGCCTAGGAGAGAAGAGGAGGGCGTAGGCAGTGAGGCCTGTGGCCATGGCATTAACTGTTTGAATCAAGGGCTTTCAGCAAGACCTTCCAAGCACCTGTCACCTGATGGCACACAGATCCCAGACACAATCCCAGTGTTGGGATAAGACTGCCACAAAAATGTCATCATGTCATCTGTGCCCTCCACAGAGTGGACCCTGGCTCCTCTGGGGGCAGAAAATAGGCCAAGGCACCCATAGGCCTGGGTCCTGCTCAGGCTCTGTGTGATCCTGGGCCAGTCATACCCTCTTTGAGCCTCAGTGGGAATAGAGAGATCCCTGCCCACTAAGCCCCAGGGATTCCCAAACAGGAGAAGCTAAGATGCTTTGGAACTGGCAGATTCCAACAAGAGATTGCAACAAAAGATGTTGTAAATGGGATTGTTGTTGTTGTTGTTGTTGTTATTTAATCCTCCCTTCCTCCTGTCTTTCTTCCCCACTTCCTGCTTATTATTTAAATTAATTTTAAAAACATTTTAAGTAAAAAAATATTTTTATACAATATACTATTACCATGTTTCCTTCCCCTCATCTTCAGATCTTCCTCACCCAACTATATATTCTCTCCTGGCTCTTCCTCACACTACACACAAATACATACATACATACATACACTAGAACAAAAATCAAAATAAACACAAACAAGCAAGAAACCAATAAAATAAACAAGCAAACAAAAAGGCCAAAACAAGAGACTACAAAACAAAAGATCCACAAAAAACCCAAAACAAACATAGAGTCTAACTCCTCCTGGGCATGGAGCTTCCCTTTCACATAGTTGATATGCCTAGTGATGTTCCACTGGAGAAAACGATTCTTCCTTTGCCAGTGGGTATCAATTGCAAATAGCTTCTTGGTTAGGGGTAGGATGTTGAGTCCTCTTCCCCTTCTCAGTGCTGGGAGCTCATCTGGCTTGACCTATGCAGGTCAGGTACATGTCGCCATGGTCTCTGTTGAGCTCATATGAGGGGCTGGAACTAGCCGTGCAACCTACAATGACTTGGGGTGTCATCCTGGTTCTGCCTCCCAGTTGCTGGGACTATAGATGTTTGCTGTCATACTCAACCCTCCTTTCTATTTAGAAATGGGTTCTTGCAAGGGCCGATGAAAGGGCTCCTTGCATAAAGGTGCTTTCTGTGCAAGCCTGATGGCCTGAGTTCAACACCCAGAACCCACATAGCTCATACAAAAGCAGGAGGAGGGGAACGGAGTCCACAAAGTTGTCCTCTGGCTTACCCACATGTGTTGTGTGTGGCATTCACACACACACACACACACACACACACACACACACACACACACACAGATAATAATAATTTTAGAGATGGGGCCTTGCTATGTCGCCAAGGCTGGTCTTACACCTGTGGCTTCAAGCAGCCCTTTGACCTTAGGCCTCCCAAGCAGCTGGGCTCTGTGCACTTGGCTTCCATCTAATGCTTCCGTCCAGTCATGGCTCCCCTCAAAGCCAGTCACACACACTGTCCAGCTACAGATTTTTGGCTCTGAAAGAAGTCCCAAGGACTGGGGCCCTATCCCACGGTTACCATCCTGTGGAAACTGAATTCAGGGCATCAGTCTCTCCTGTGACTCTTGTGAGAATTCTGCCCCAAATCCCTCCAGGGTTTCCCTACCTCCACAGGCTTGGAGGGACAGAAAACTTACCCAGTCTGTGTGACTGTGACTGTGTCAAGCCAACTGAACGTGCTTAGTTCATTGCCATTCCCCAGGATGATCTTCTCCGTGGTCACCTCAATCCGGAAGTCCATCCAAGCATTGGTAATGCCCAGTTTTCCAAAATAAGTTTTCCCTGTTCTGGAGTAAGGGTTACTCCCCTTGTCTCCAATGATCTGTCCAGTTACAGTGATGCCTGCCAGAGGGTGAGGTGAGAAGAGAGACCAGTGAGGTCATCTGAGCCCATGCTGACCTTCAGGGATGTTTTCCCTTCAGAAGGGCACGCGGAGGGAAGCATAGGCAGAGCCCCAAGGGAAGACCAGGTGTCAGAGCCAAGTGCAATGCTGGAAACTTCAGGTCTGGGGCATGCTGGGACATTGTGGCTCTTCCCCCTTTCCTGGGTCAGGGGGTGTTATGAGAGGGGAAACTGCTCCCCATATCCAGGCTGGCTCCACCCTCAGCGTCAGGCTGTCCTTATCTCTACCTCTCTCTCACAGCACTGAGCACTACTTCGGCAGTTCCCTCCTCCCTGGTGCAGAGCATTCTGTGTGTGAAGGTGGCTAAGTACTAGGCAGAGTGAGGAGGAGGACCACTCAGATCCTCACAGAAAGAACCCCAGCTTGTAGCCCCACCTGTGACTGGGTCCTGAAGAAGGCGCAGCACCGTGCCAGGCTTCTCGTCAATGTTGAAGCAGATGCTGTCATTTTTTCCTGAGACTTGGATGATGAAGTGGGGGTCCCCATCCACTGAGGGTACATCAGAGAATGAGCTGACTCCCAGGGCCTTTCCCGTACCACAGGCCTTCCCTGGCCTCCTGGCCTTACCAGGCCTCCTGGCCCTGTGGGCAGGAGCAAGGCACCCATAACCCTGAACCTTGACCAGGGAGGAGCCAAGAAACTCACCATAATAGTAGGGGCTTGGATGAGACTGCTGACTGGCTATGGAACAAAGGGAGACCAGATTGAACAACACAAGCTGTCCTGGAGAGATCTGAGACCTCCGCTCATAATTTGGCTAATGCCTTTCCCATTTTGATTCCCCAATGATTTTATTCTCTCTTTCCCCTCCACCAGCACTGAAGCCCCCCAGGACACCTGGTCAATCGGCCCATGACAGAGGTTGATTCAGGAAACACTATAGAAGAGGGCAGAGGGCAAGGCAGGGCAGGTTCTTAGTGGTGGGCAGGGCTGGTTGCAGCAAACAGCATGTACTCACTCAGGTAGGCCATGGAGCTAGTCGCAGAGATGGCTAGCAAAACCAGAGGGCAGTCATGAGCAACAGCCAAGGGCATCCCACCTTCCCAGCCTTGTGCTTTCTGTCAGCCTGAAGCCTGCTGGGCCCCACAGGGCACCAACATTGGCAGCCTTGCCCAAGCAATCGCTTTCCAGGGATTTTCATAGTACAAGAGTGATTTTGATGCTAGGAGCCTATTTTGATGTGCCTAAAATGCATATCTATCAAGTCATCAAAATGCAAATCTATCAAGTCCAACCTCCGTTATGAGCAATGTTTGCAGGCTCTGTGAAGTCTTTAGCCCCTAGCCGGGATTAGGGTGAGACCCACGTGTCTGTTGTTCTTTGGTGGCTGGTAGCTCCTGAGGGGAAATCGTGGCCTAATGTACTTGTGCCTCTTAGAGATTCAGGTGGGCAGCTTGGCAGGGGCTGAGTCTTTCCCAGTGTTAGTGGGCTGGAGGGGTGCAGTGTTCTCACTGCTGTACAATGAGAGCACTCTGGTTCCCAGAGATCCTCAGCATGGGCTCTGGGCCCAAGTGATCTATGTGCCCTAGGCCTATGTCCCATGTCAGCTACTGCCTGAGACATTTCTGAGCCTTGTGCTCTCACTATAAAATGAGGGTTGTAAAAGACTTGTATGAGGGTTGCAGGGGTCACGGGAAAGTGCTAGATATAAAAATTGCTCATATTTGCAGATAATGGAACGCTGTCATTGACTGGTCCATCTTGAGGGAAGGAAGCCATCTTCAGCTGAATGAATGGGAACCCTGAGACTTGGAGGAGTAAGCCTAAAGGCTCTATTCCATCTCTCCCTCTCTCTCTTCCTTTGTTCCCTCCCTCCTCTCTCTCTCTGTCCATCCCATGAAGCTTACCTTCTATCATGCAGGCACAGTAAGGGAGGAAGAAGAAAGATGTATTAGACATAGACTATGAGGCCACTGCAACAATGCGAGTGGTCTGTGGCCTGGCTTAGAGCTGGCTTTGTCCCCACGGGGTGTCCCCCAGAACCAAGAACTCCGAGGAAACAGGGAGTGTATCAAAAAGAGACTTTTGTCCGCCATGCCTCTCGGTGCCAGGCTCCCCATGAAGTTGCTATACACATTTGGGGCTCTCCTGGTGAGTACATTCTGGGGTCTTGTTAAAGATGTTTGGTCTCAGCCTCCAGAGCTCCAGAGCTCAGAGCTCCCAGGTCCTCCCAGGTTTGTTCCAGGTCTAAATTTGGGGTTAGAACCTCTTGTCTAACTGAGCCCTCTGTGCTACAGCCGGGATTCTTTCCTTGAAACGGCCCTAGCGGTGTGCTCCCTTGGCTTACATCCCTTGAGAGACTTAGAGACACCTACTGGCCCACACCCCATGCCCCTGCTGACCACTTCACCCCTTCAGATGCTTCCAAACCTGCCCCTCTTCCAAAGGTCTGGTGTCCCCAGCCTGGCCAATTCCTCTGCTGGGATTCTAGGGTCCAGGGTCTTAGGGGGAGGATTCTAGATTCTGGCCCTCTCTCCCTATGCCCACCTTCCCCAGGCTTGTCTGCAATGGCTGTCTGATCCTCATTGTCTTCAGGCTTGGTCACCACCATGGAGGTCAGTGGAGTTACAAAGTGGTACTTGAGGGACAGCTCCAGGGCCTGGGCTGTAAGGTTCTCCTTCTCCTCCCCGTGAGCGTTCTTGCTGTTAGGAGGAGCAACTCAGAGTCAGCCCCGAGCCCAAGGTCCTGCTTCCTTTCACACATACTTCCCCGCCCAACCAGAATCTCCAGGGACAGTTTCGGAACATCTCCCCTCTCTCCAGGGCCCACATTGTTGATCCTCCTCAGTGGAGCTCACTGCGGGGTGGGGTTGGGGGGCGGGAATACCCGTTCACTAGCTAGCTCCCCAAGGCATATGAAAAAAAAAGTATTTCCTCTCTAGGAGACAGTTTCTCCACCCATAAAATACAAGGGACTCAAAATGGCTACTGCGATCATCGCTTATGATAGTGCTGAATGCCAAGCATTCGCCCTGTGCCAAACTTGCTGGGACATTAGAGCTTTGCTCTTCCTAAAGAAGCTTTCACATTGTCCTCTCAAGGCTACTCAGCTCCCCACACCCAACCCGTGTCAGTGCTATTCAACTTCCCTATCACTGAGTGTGGCTGGGGGGTCGGCCACGAGCTAATGCCTCCCCTGCCCTAGAGGCTCTCAGGCCACTGCCTGGCAGTGCTTGCCTGCTCATGATGGACACGCAGGAGGGGTAGGGCACAAGGGAACTGGTTTTTGTGGTTTTTTTGTATGTTTGTTTGTTTGTTTAAAATCTGGGCCAAGAAGAGGGCAGAGCAGTAAGAATGCTCATGGGAATGTGTGGCTGTCTTACGCCTCTGGCCCTGTTGGAACACAGTGAGTGCTGTGGTGGGGGCTGGGCAGGTTGGTCTCCTCAGGGGGCGGGCAGGCTGACTCACCGCTTCTCCAGTAACTGCTCAATAGTGAGGTACGCCCAGAGCCGCTCAATGTAGTCCCCAAAGATGTAGCCCTGCTCCTTCAGGGCTGCGTCCATCTCCTTCATGTCTACCTCCTCTCTGAAGGTCAGGTCGTTCAAGGCCTGGGTAGGGAATAGGAGCAGGTAGTGAGGGGAGTGAGCGCCGGACCGGGGAGCTGTGAGGGCTGGGCTGGGCTCAGAGGATGCCAGTCCTGGAAGCCTGGGCCCCATTGCCGCCGCTGACCCTTCCTTCCCAGCACCTCAGGCTCCCACTCACCCCATGGCCCTTCACATCTGCTTTAAAGTTGTTCATGTCGCTGTCCGCCAGGCGCCCAGCCACAACAATCTCAGAGCCATCGTAAAAGTGCGGGTAAGTGTTTCTGGTGAGGTCCAGGATGGCATTCTCGGGGTACTCCACCTCCACATTCGTCAGCAGTGGATTAGCCACCTCTTCGTAGAAGCCCTGTAAGTCAGATCAGGTCATCCGGTCAGCTCAGACCTCCCCAGGGCAGGCATGGAGAAGCCTGGACTAGGCTGGTTCCACAGGTGGTGTGAGGTGGCATTTAGTCCGCAAGGGCTAAGCTGATCCATCCCTTTGATCTTCATTCCTAAATGGCCTTGACTGTGCCTCGGAGTCTAGGAGAACCATCCCTGTCCTTCCAATCTTAAAGACTAGAGAAAAGAGAAGGAAAGGACAGAATTCTTGGTGCAGAACTTTGAATAAAGAAATATTAGACAAAGAAAGGGGTGTGAGTCGGGGGGAGAAAAGCCCTGGGGTCCCCTACAAATGGGGGTACTGTCAGCCACCTAGCGGAGGTCCTAGACTCTGAACAGTGAGGCACATAGTTGCATTTGGCTAGCAGGTATGCTTAAATATTACTTTACAATATAAAGGTGTCATGGATCAGACTGTGCGCTGCATTCCTAAAGCCCAAATCCTCAGGGTGCAACCTTATTTGGAGGTAATATCTCTACAAAGATAATCCAATGATGTCATGAGGTTGGGCCCTAATCCAATATGCCTTGTGTCCTTATAAAAAGAAGAAATTGGATACAGACGCACAACAAAGGAATGAACGGGATGGCCCAGGAAGAAGAGTTCTGAAACAAGTCAAGAATGGGTACGTAAGTTCAGTGGCGCTCCGGGAGGATCTCTGTGAGTTCAAGGCCAGCCTGGTCTACAAAACCAGTCCAGAACAGCCAAGGCTACACAGAGAAACCGTGTCTTGAGAAAAAAAAAAAAATAGAGACCTATACAGACCTTTCATCAGAAAGGAACCAACCCCTATCACCTTGATCTCATACTTCTAGCCTCTAAGACTGAGACATGGCACCTCATCAGTGGTCATAGGCTTCCTTATGACAGACTTAGTAAACCATTGTTCTGTGAAACATTTGGGCATATTTACATAAAAATTACTTATTGCTTATGAGACTTATACATTTAACTAAAGCGTGGTGTCCTCTGCTTGACCTGCCGATCCTGCAGACGAAGCAGCTCTGTTTTAGGCAGATTAGAACGAGCCACAGCAGGCAGGCTTCAGCAGGCAGGGAGCTCCCTGCAATACCTGCAGTTGTCACAAGGTGGCGATAGCGTGTGAGGTGACCCGCACCTGCAGCTGCAAGCTGGCATCGGAATCTTCATAAATGCGCCGGGCAAACCCCTGGTTCTCCAGGGCCAGGCTCTCCAGGAAGTTATAGTTCAGATTGTTGCCAAAACCCAGGTTATACAAAGGGAACTTGCCCCCGATGGCATTCCGGGCATTCTCCTGGATCTTTTCAGATCTGCTCTCACCTGTAGGAAGGGCTGTTCATGCTGGGGACCACCTACGCTAGCTCCTTTGGGGGGGATCTGGCTCTTCACAAGCGCAGCTGGTAGAGAGCCTTGACAAGGAGAGGCGTGTGCCTGCCTTTGAGGGGCTCACAAGATTCTGGGGAAGCCCAGGAAAAGCTGTCCAAGGACTTGGAGCGGGCCAGCTACAGAGTCAGGAAGGCAGGCAGGCACTCACCTCGGGTTCAAGCCTCCCTCTCCCTCACCAGTATTGGCATCGCCATCTGTCAACATGATGACGATGGAGGTGCTCCTCTCTGGAACGCGGTGCTCCTCCCGGGCCGTGTTCAGCATTTCAATGCCCCTCAACAGCCCATCATTGATGTTGGTCACTGTATACCAATAGAGAGACAGAACCATTGTGGGGGGGAGTGTCCTTAGGGTGCTAGAGGACAAGGCTGTTGAAGTGAAGGAGCGTGGGACGGTAGACCTTGTTCTTGTGCCAAGGACTGTGTCAGCCTGGACAGAGACGTCCTCAGTAAATATTGATATAAGGGGAGAACAGCACAGACTATCACACAGGCATTAAAGGGGTGCTAAGAGGTTCCAAACGTGTGATTACAGCGATTTGTCAGGCAGTCAGGTGGGGTCACCAGGAGTGGGAAGAGAGTGGTATAGATGTCCTGTATGGTGTCCATAGGTAACAGATCAAGAAGGGCTCCCTGTGGCCTTATCATGCTGAGACTTGTGGACACAAGGATCATGGGCTAGAAATGCCGAGACAGGTTTCCCTAGGTGGCAGAGAAGGCACCCTAATGCCTTGTCTTCAAGTCTGAGGTCTACCCCAGTGCAGGAAAAACCAAAACAAAACAAAAACAAACAAACAAACAAAAAACCTGGTAGAATGCTCCTCTCCCCCTGCCCCCCACGCCCGTACTGCTTTGCGAATCGATTCTCTTCACAAATGCCCTGGCCTCCTCAAGGTTTGTGGGGGTGGCTTGAACTAGGTTATCTTTCCAGACAGTCACATCGGTGCTGAATAGAATGAAATTCAGATAGTCTTCTTTTTTCATGTCATCCAGGATTTTGAGAAGGGCTTCCCTGGTCTGGGGGAGAAGACAAATAGACCATAAAGACATGAGGGAGACATGAGCTAGGTCCTTTCCCAGGCCAGGCTGACAGAGGAGCTCCTGCTGTCCTTATCCTTATGAGTAAGCATTGCCTGAGGCCCCCAACTCCCTGTGAAAGTGAGTACCGGCTTTTGGTATTCTTACATTCTGTCTGATCCCTCCTTTCCCACTGGAAATGCTAGAATTGTCCCACTTAAAAAAAAAAAAAAAGAATCTCTTCCTCCTCACGTTTCTAACCCCATGCTGCCCTGAGTGCTGGGAGGGGGCCGGGTGGGGCCAAACCTGCTGGATTTTCCGGCCATACATGGAACCGCTGACGTCAATCACAAAGACTATGTTCTTAGGCACCACGGGAAGGCCTTGGGGTGCAAAGAAGTGCACGAAGTAGCCGTTGACTACCTGCAAAGGTGGGAGAAACGTGGAATTCCATGCCCGTTTAACAGGGCCTCTCCTTGCAAGTGGAAGTCACTGCAGGAAAAAGTGTCCTGTTTCTACTCTCCAAGGGCTGCTGTGTAAGCGATATGGTGCTAAAGATGGAGGAGAGGGATGCAGCTGCGGCCCCTCGGGATACTGGGCCTCTCTCCGCCATGACGATGGATTAACAAGCAAGCCTGGTGGAGCCACCACCCTGTACCTGTACGTTGCCTGGAGACTCTCTGTTCACGTCATAGACGATGGTGAAGTCCCCGTTGAGGAGGGAGTCTGTACATGTCGGACATGAGCGTTGTTGGTCTAAGCTGGGCTTGAAAGACACGTGCCCCTGGGGATGGGGGATGGAGGGAGAGGGGAAAGCCTTGAGCTTGGTGAAGGCTTCCCACCGGCAGACAGGAAGAACCCTCTGATGACACAGAGGTGAGGGCCTGGCATGAATCAGATGCCAGTTCCTCACGGATGAAGCTGCTCCCATTCCCCATCTCTCTGAGTACCTCCCTCCCTGGGTGCTCAAAATCTGCTGGGGGTTGGGGTGGCTGCTATTTTCACTTAGCCTCCTCTCTTTTGGCTGCTTCATCCCAACTCTTTAGCTCTGTGCCAGAAGTTACTTAGGTTTTGCTCCATATGAGAGAACTTTGTGTTGGATGGTTTTGCACACTGGAGTTGGTACCCAAAGGAGGGGAGAAGGATGCGAGTCGGGAAGGGAGTGTTAGACTGAAGGAGGCTAAGCATGCTCAGATGTCAGCAGCTCCCTTGAATGTGGGCTTTTTGAAAGTTTCTCTGGAGATCCTAGATAGCGAAGATTTGATGCTTACGCTTTCTCACACGCTTCCCATTGGCACTGAGCTCCTGCCCTGGAATGGCTTGGGGGGCTCAGTGACTGGAGCCAACTGCCCAGTATCAAGAATGAGAATCAAACCAATTCTCTTTAGTCTTTCATCCCTTAATGTGCAGCCAGCCAACCTAGTCTCAGTTCCTCGATCCATCTGTAACTCCTTCCCTGTCCATTTGCCAAGGTTGAATGGAACTGGGCTTTTTAAATGGCTTCCCTTGAGCTGGAAAGATGACTTAGAGGTTAAGGGCACTGTTTGTTCTTCCAGAGGTCCTGAGTTCAATTCCCAGCAACCATATGGTGGCTTATAACTGTCTATAATGAGATCTGGTGTCCTCTTCTGGCCTGCAGGCACACATGCAGGCAAAACAATGTGTACAAAATAAATAAATAAATCTTAAATAAGTAAGTAAATAAATAAATGACTTCACTTTTCTGGTAGAGTTGAGACCCCAAATCTTTTATCAGGTCAGCCTTAGCATTCCCTTCCTCCAGCCTTCCCACTGATGACCCAGTTGACTGAGGAGAAAGGTCGACACAGACAGACAACCCCCACTGCACTTAGCTCAGCAAAGTCAAGGCAAATGTCTTACCCCTGCACCCCAAGCCCCAGTGTTATCTATACCACCTTTTTCCCTGAGAAGGACTTGGTGAGGGCACTTCCCAGGAGGTCATTAGTGATGAATGAGGCCTCAGCATCCAGCATGCTGATGCCCTGTGGCTCAAAGATGTGTGCGTCAATCTGAAATGGCCAAATGAAGGAGATGTCATCCTGGGACAATGCAGAGGTCTGGGACACAGCCAAGGGGAATGACGTGGCTCTGTGGTGATACAAGGACCCTCAAGGACAAGAGTGAGGGCCAGCAGGAAAGTGACCCAGGAACTGTTGGAAGGGTATGGTGGCACAAAACATTTCTACCATCTGCCTGCCACTGATCCTGAGTTCCACAACCACAGCAGCTCCCTTTCCTTCTAGCCTTGATGTCCGTAAAAGGGACCAGTTGCAACTGTTTGTGGTGCAGTCCTCAAGGGCTAAAAGCCTCCTCCCCTTGGCTGCAATGCGAGGGACTTGGCTCAGCTCTGAGACACGCCCCTCCTTCTCCCACCCAAACCCCACTGCCCTTCCCCCGGCTCTGTGTGGTTCCAAGCAGGGGTGTGGGAACGGCTGATTACCTCAAAGTGTCTGACCAGCTGTTTGGGCTGGACCTTCAGGTACATCTCGTACCTGCCCTTGTGCCTCTTGAGCAGCTCTTCATAGGTCAGCTCGAAGGTGACCTTGCTGCCTGCGGCCACATTGACAGACACTGTGAATTTCTCCAATTTCCTCCCGGAGGCCCTGCGGGGCACAGGTGCAAAACGTACTTAGCACAAAGCCTTCAGAAACCCATCCTTCCTGGGCCCTGGGCTCAGGTCTCGATCTTAGGTTAGAGACCTCCCTATCTATCAACACCTTGATTGCTTTAAAATGGGGTTTTTCTGGGGATACACACAGTTTGCTATAACAATAATCATGGCTGCTTTCTTCTCTCAAGGCCCAAGATCCACACTTACTTGACCAAACCAGCTGTCTTGCCCTGGGACACAGCCTTTTCATATTGTTTCTGGGCAACTTCCTTCTCCTTGACGTTCCCAGGGTAGGTGACACCGTCGATGGTCCTGCAGGTAGAGAGTTTAGGGAAAGGGGCTGCCACACTGGACCAGAACACCCCCCCCCCAGGAGCTTAGCGTGAGCAGCTATGGTGGCACCCACAAGGTGAAGTTGGTGATGAAGGCTGTCTTGGGCAGTTCCACATCGAAGGAAACCTCCTTGGCTGTGTCTGCGCGGTTGACCGCCCTTGTGGTGACAACATTGTGAGCAAAGCGGGAGGTCACCTTACAGTTGATCTTGGTACTGTAGACCTCAATGCCATCAACTGCCTGTGGGCGAGAGAGGTAGGCAAGGATCTCCGGGTGATAATTATCTATACTGCACTCTGGGAAACTGCTCACCCTGGCTGCTTCCCCTTCAAATCCTCCCTCGTGGGCTCTGAAGCCCTGGTGTGTCCTAGCCCTCCCAGTCAGCCACACTGGGAGCCTGGACAGTGTCCTTTGTCCCACATCCAGCTGGGACACAGTGGTGTCCCACAGTGCTCGTTCCCTGCTTCCTTAATGCTGCAGTCTGCACACCGCTGCAGCCAGGAAGATCTTGTAAAAGCCCAGCTCTGACCCAGCTCCTCTCCCAGACAAAGCCTCCCCAGGGCTCCCCTCTGCCCTGGCCCTAGCTTTCCTTGGAGAGTCTTGCCTCCCTGTATCCTGAGCGCCAGCTGTGCCCAGAAGTCTTCTCCCAACACACTCTTTCTCTTACATTCCCAGTCCACCTCCTACGTGCTTTGGTATTGACTGGTACTTTTATTGGAGCAGACATCTCCTTCCTGTGTCCCCAGACACCCTCTTTCCAATAGAGGTGATAGATGAAGGGACGCTGGGTTAAGAAAGGTTCTAGCTACCTTGTAACAGGGAGCTTCACCACCTGGTCCCAGGCCTCCCTCCAGCCAAGTGCCAGAAACTACTTGATCGTATGTGTGAGAGGAAGCTGCCTCCTATGCTGCTCTGACCAAGCTGGAGCCCCTCTATCCCAAGGGTCCTGTGTCACAGGAGGCTCTGCCAAGATGGGGCCGTGAGCTACTTTTCAGCTCTGGGGGTGCTGCCATTATGATTTATACCTTCGGCAAGTGAATAACTGCTCCATTCTGGCCCTCCCCACCCCGTCTGTACCTTCCTGGAAGTCCTTACCCCTTCTGGGAGGCTCCGCTTCTGTAAATACAAAAATAAACAGAAAGGTCAGGGCAAACACAAGGCCACCAATGACCTGGGAGCAGGCTCTGGGCTAGAGCCAGGGCTCAGAGACACAGGAACCTCCAGGTCCTGTGCTACAGAGGGCCGCTGAATAGTTGGAGAAAGGGGTGTATCATCAGACCACCCACGGGGGAGGCCAGGAGAACTGATCCCAAGCTGTCTGTGCTGCCTTTGCCCCCGACTTACGTGGCCTCTCATTCTGCTCTCCCCGGACCCTGGTCCCTTCGGCCATCTTCCCAGAACACCCACCCCCTCATCAGGCTCAACTCAGCATGTTGTAGAGGCCTCTGCACCTGAGACAGGCCTTTGTAGACCTTCATGAGAAGTTCACAATTCATCATCTATTTTCCAGGTGGGGAAACTGAGGCCTGGGAGTTCGAAGAGCTCTGCTCTGGGTTAGACAATAGGCTGCTTTATCAGTCCTGTTTGGGGCTCAGGTCTCCAGGGTCCAGTGTTGACCCAGTATCACAATGTCCAGTCCCCTGCCTCCTCTCCCCTCACTCAGGGGACTTGGTTAGAGTTTTCCGCCCATTTAACCCTCAAAGTCCTGGTATCAGATAGGAAGTTTGACTCACCCCAAGCAGCCGCAGGGGGCTCCTCGGAAAACCAGAGATCTCCAAGCCAGAGAGCAGAGCCAAGACAAGGCAGGGCCACCACATAGCCACCATTGCTGAGCATACAGGCCCGCCCTGCTTTCCTTATATACGCCAGCCCAGTGTTTTCCGAGCAAGGTCAGTGACCTGCAGCATGGGGCCAGAGCAGCGAGGCAGGCATCAGCTCCGGGAACTGGGGGTGGGTGGAGTCGCCACCCAGAGTGACCGTATGAGGAAGGCCCAGTGGGTACAATAAACAGTGTTGGGGCTTCACTCCTGATATTCTGGGGCCTGGAGGCCCTCGGGAAAGCAGAAGCTGTGTGAAAGAAGTGACCCCTGCTCACCCTGGTGTGGTGATGAAGATGGTGTGAGCTGCATTCAGAGCAACTGGCATCTCTCCATCTAGGGCTCGATGCTTTTGTCCTTACCACCCACATTGCCTCTAGCCTGGGCCTGGATCCCAGCTCCAACCCTCACAAGGCAGCCACTCTCAGCTAGACACCCCCCTCCCCCATGGCTGAGCTCTTTCTTCCATTACCTGATCCATCTGCTAGGGACCCATGAACTGAACAGAGCTCCCTCTGGGATCTGACTCCAAATTGCTTTCCTGGGTTTACTCTCCCTGATAGTGTACCTGTCTTCTGATGCCTGTGTCATCTCCCACCTCTGCCAGCCTAAGGGCCTTGGCTCCCTCTTCCTTATTAGATAAAAGGTAGCTTTTAATAATAATTTAAAAAAATTTCAGCTCTGGATGGTTCTCAGACTGTCAAGATCTTGTCATGATGCCATTCACAGTGTGATAGCTTATTTCTTTTTCTTTTTAAATTATTTATTTAGTATGTATACAGTGTTCTGCCTGCCAGAAGAAGGCACCAGGTCTTATTATGGATGGTTGTGAGCCACCATGTGGTTGCTGGGAATTGAACTCAGGACCTCTGGAAGAGCAGCCAGTGCTCTTAACCTCTGAGCCATCTCTCCAGCCCAGCTTATTTTTTTCTTTCTTTTTTTTTTTTTTTTTTAAGATTTATTTCTTTATTTTACATATGAGTGCTTTATTTGCATGTACATCTGCATGACAGAAGAGGGCACCAGATCTTATTATAGATGGTTGTGAGCCACCTTGTGGTTGCCGGGAATTGAACTCAGGACCTCTGGAAGAGCAGGGGGTGCTCTTAACCTCTGAGCCATCTCTCCAGCCCAGCTTATTCCTTTTTTTTAAAGATAGGTTTTATTTTAATTACGTGTGTGTGTCCACTTGTCTGCGTGGGAGTGTGAGTGTACTTGCCTGTTCCTGACGTGGGTGCTAGGAGACAGACCAGGTCCTCTGCAAGAGCGGTGTAGGTTCTTTATCACTGAGCCGTTTCCCCAGTCCCAACAGGCTCTCTGGGAAGTGCATCCTGTCACTTTACACTGGACTTTGTGTGATCAAGTCTGACTGTCCCTTCCTGGATAGGACTGACTCTATTTTGCTCAGTCTTTGCCTAGGACCCTGCCAGGGTCTTTGTACTTCAGAAAATAACAGTCTCTCTGCATAAGGGCTGGGACCTCCTGAGCCACACCAGGGTCCTGGCAGCCTCTGGGCTCTTCTGGACAGGTGCCACATGCCCACCATGCCCTGACTTCTCTGCGCACCCTCCGTGTGCTGAGTGGAGTGGATCGACCCTGCCCACCTGAGGCCAGCTACCTTCTGGATGGTGCCACGCCCTCAGCTGAATGCCCTGGGCACGCCTGGCAGATGTGCAAAGAGAGATGGCTGAAAGCAGAACGCAGAGGTAGAGTAAGCTACAGAACGGCTACGCCTGAAGATTGGGATGCGGCAGGAGACATGAAGCAGTTATGAAGGAGCTACCAAGTCAGCACAAATGGGGGCATGACGGGGCTGCTGCTGAGACCTATCTGGGCAGCACCTGCCTGTCCTTAGAAACACCGACAGCTGAGGTAAAGGGAAGATCCTTCAAAACCAGGCCTCTCTCTTAGTGCTGGGGAGGTCCCACTCACGGGGCCATTTTCAGCACCTGCTAGCCACGAAGGGCTGTGGTTGAAGCAAGCCTGTTCCTCAGAGACTCCTTCTCGGCATCCACGGCTACCCAGGGAACCTTTTCCCTGCCTCTTCCGTCTGAGCCACTGCCTCCTTCCTAGACACTCTGGAGTTTGGGGAGAGTGACAACTCAAAATAGAAAATTTTATGGCTGCTTAAGAAGGATGGCCACGAATTTGAAGAAAACTAGAATGATGAAAAATTAGAATTATAAAGACCCCATTAGATCCCTAGGCTTGTCCCTGGGCCATTCCTCAGGAGGGGGCGATGAGCAGCCAGTTGACAGTCCTGCTTTCCCAGAATGCCTTTGGAGGTAAATTGAGCTCACTGTTGTGCAGTGAGTTGAAAGACTTGCTATTGAAGGACTCTGTGTTCCCCAACCTGCGGTAGCCTTTGAACTCAGCACGTACAATGGTTAACATTGTAAACTTGACAAGATCTGGGTTCACTGAAGAGACAAGTCTCTTGAGTTCCTTGACAAGGATTATCTAGCCAGATTAAGTTAGTTGGACAAGGAAGCCTCACATTAGATGTGGGTGTACCATTCCATGGGATGGGATCCTGGACCGAATAAAAAGGAAATGAGCACAAGAGCTCATTGCTTGCCGCTTCCTGACTCAGGTTCAATGTGACTTCCACCCCTACTCCTGCCGTCATACCTTCCCTGACTGGACTGTTTCGCTTTAACCTGCTAAAATAAACCCTTTGTGCTTTTGTCGGTGTGCTTTTTATCACAGAAACTGTTACGTGACAGGCTTTTCCTGAGGAGACACAACACACACACACATACATGCACACACGCACACACACACACAACCTACTCACTCCACATAGATAGGCCATGACAAACCAAAGAAAGGAGGCCACCTCAGGCCGACTTGGTGAAGCAATGAGTTTTATTGGGGTTATTACAGGAGTATGAGAGATGGGTTATTTATATGAGCAGAAAGTGCTCAAAGACAGCTGCACCAGCAAAGCAGCTTTGGTGGCAGCTCACCGAAGCTAGAGCCCTAGAGCACAGCCTGTAGGAAGTTCAGCAGGTCAGAGAGTGTCCTTTCCCAGTGGCTAGGCTGGTGTGAGCCTCTTCTGGGAAGTTCAGCTTGTCTCTGCTTCTTTCAGGCTGTTTGCCTTGCCTAAGAGGGACTCTAAGTAGTCTTTACTGTTTGTTTATTTATTATGGTGATTTAAATGAGAATGACCCCATAGGGCTCATATATTTGAATGCTTAATCTCAGGGAAATTGTTTGAGAAGGATTAAAAGGTATGTGTTAGAGGCAGTGTGTCTGTAGGGTGGGCTTTGATGTTTTAATAGCTCACATCAGGCCCGGTGTCTCATCTCTTCCTCTCTCTGCCTGCTGCCCATGGATCAGGATGTAAAGCTCTCAGGTACTGCTCCAACACCATGCCCGATTATTTCCATCTGCTATGATCATGAACTAGCCCTCTAAAGCTGTAAGAAAGCCTCCAATTCAATGTTTTCTTTTATAAGACTTGCCTTGGTGTCTCTTCACAGAAATAGAACAGTAGCTAAGACATATACTCTTGAAAAGAGAGGGCCATAGAAAATCTGATCAGTTTCAGGGACTTCCTGAGCTATTTTGAGTTGTCTTAATGAGCTCCCTGGCAGAATGAAGTGTTTCAATTTCAGAGGAATTGTTATACAACATTCAACTATGTGGGACTGTTTTTGAAGGCATAAAAGCTCCATGATTAAGATTGCTCCTGAGGCCTGTGTGGAGACCCTGCAAGGAGGCCCTGAGAAACCAGTCTGAAGGTCGAAGCCTCAGCTGCAAGGGATACGAAGGTGCCAAAACCGTGAGATGTCTACTGAGGAAATCTGCATTCATGGGGTAAGTCTGACTCAAAAGAGAGGCTGTGTGTGCTGCAGGCCATAGAGCTGGAGAGACATGGTTACTTAGACCCTTTAGCACCCAGATGATTCCATCTTGATGCCCAGGTGCTGAACATGTAGCTCCAGGATTTAGTGTTTTCCCTGATGAGTTTCAGTCTTACTTTGGCCCAGTCATTCCTGGCGATTACCTAATTCTCCCCCTGTGGAATGGGAGTGTTTATTTCTGTCAATAAATACTAGAAGTATATGGCTCATTTTTATTTTATAGGCGTTCAAAGTTAAGAGATTGCTTTGAGTCTCAGAAGAGACTTGGGACTTTTAAATTGTTTCAAAATGATTGAAGGCTATGGGGACTTTTGAAATTGGTCTGAGTGCATTTTGCATTAAGCTGGCCATGAGCCTATGAGAACAAAGGAGTGGAAGGTTATATCTTAAAAGTTATATGTTTGGGTGCCAGGCTGACAGGGGGTGAACTTTTGACAATTAATTCTGATTGTAAATCTAGAATCATTGACAAACCTCTAAGAATGCCTACGGTATACTACCTGGATTAGATTAATCTCTGAGTATGCCTATGAGGAATTATCCATACTAAGTTAATCTAGGTGGGAAGTCCCACTTTCAATTGGGTAGTACTATTTCACGGGCTGGGTTTCTCAACTGAATACAAAGGAAAACATGAGATGAGTCCATCTCATCACTTGGCTTTCTGATTGCGGATGCCACCCACTCCTACCATCATGCCTTCTCTGACGTGATGGATTGTGTCTCTTGGAACTGTAAGCCAAAGCAAATTTTCCTTCTTTAAAATTATTTTGTCACAGTAGTGAGCCCATAATAAAACATTCTATGTTACCCAAGAACAGGCTTTGTCTATTCTGGGCCCTAATGAGTTTTGTTTGTCGTGGGGACTGGACCTAAGATTAAAGAGAAAGAAGCAGAAACTCTCAACTAGAGTGGGAAGAGGCCCATATACCTTTACATGAAGGGAAAATAGCTCCCCCAATGGGGATGCATTGTCCTATGTTCTGTGACGTTTCATTTTAACAGAGTCGTAAGACCAAGTCAGAGAAAGGAGCCTTAACAGGACAACTCCAGACAGTATGAGGGGTGAAAGGGGTGCTGTTGAAAGGGCCCCTGAATCCCAGTTTTGCACAGTGGCTGTCTCTGTCTTCAGAATGTACCAGTCCGGCCCTCACCAGCTGCCATCCCTACAAGGAATTGTGATGAAGGAGAGCGTCCGAGGTGCCTGCTCCTGTAAGATTTCCTTGGGACCCCAAATCTACCTGCAAATCGTCTTTGTGTGTTTATGT